ATGATACAGAAAAGTAGCTTAAGTATATTACTTATACTTTAAGAAACCTGTTTTAAGAAATGCAATCTCTCTCAGACCTCTAAAACTCAAAAAGAATTATTTGCTTATCTGCCAAAGGTAAAAAGCAGTAAAATTGTCTTAAATAGTGTAAAGCAATACTGTTAACTCATTTCCAACCATACAGCACATTTCAGTCTCTGCAATAGTAATATGTTGTTGCTGTTACATGTCTTGGATTCGGGTGACTCATAGCAATCCTGTATAGGGTTTCCAAAGAACTGCTGGTGGATTTGAACATCCCACTTTGTGCTGAGCAAGGAGCTCTGGTAATGTAGTGTTTACAAATTGGGCTGTGAACCTGAAGGGCAGCAGTTCGAAACTACCAGACATTCCCTGGGAGAAAGATGAGGCTTTCTGTTTCCGTAATGAGTTACAGCCTCAGAAACCCTGTGCAGGTTCGCTATGAGTCGAAACCGACTCTACAGCACATTACAACAACAACAACCTTGTGGTGAGCAGTTCGGTACTTATCCTATAGTGTCATAGAAGGACTCAGCAACAGTAATATAGAGGTATAGATTTATTAAATCTGTAATGCAATTACCATAAACAAATTAATATGTAGAAACTGACAGATCTCTGAGTGGCAAAAAGTTTGTATTTGGTTGTTAACCTAAAGGATGACTTTTTGAACCCACACAGTGGCATCATAGAAGAAAGTTTGACATCTGTTTCCTTCTAGTGATCTGCTTTTGTAAAAATTAATCCAGGAAATCCCTGTAGAGCAGACCCGTAGAGCAGGTCTTCTCTGTAACACATGTGTTGTTGATGTGAAGTGCCGTCGAGTCGATTTGACCCATAGAGACCCTATATAGGGTTTCTGAGGAGCAGCTGGTGAGCTCGAGCCACCGATCTTGCAGTTCAAATGGCTTTGCAGTCTGGCACATTAACCCACAGCACCACACCAGGACTCTGTAACACATGTGGTCATCATTAAATGAAATTGGCTGAACAACAACAACAAAAAGGAAACCCACTACCGTCAAGCCCACATCTCGAAATGATCCCATAGGACACAGTAGAACTACCCCATAGGGTTTCTAAGGCTGGAAATCTTTGGGGAAGCCAACTGCAACATTTTTTCTCCCACAAGGTAGCTTTCAGGTTCAAACTGCTTTTGGTTAGCAGTGAAGGGCTTTAACCACTGTAATACCAGGGACAAAGTCCTTGGAAAAATACTTCTATTTTTCAATGGCCCTACTGAGTAATTGAACCGATTCCACAGCACATAACAACGACAACAACTGAGTAATTATTGTTTTCTTTTTATAGATGAGGCTATGAAGTCTTATAGAATTTATCCATCAGTGCAGTGTAGTTTATGATACAGTAACAAACACATCTCAAATTTTGATGGATTAAATACAAAAACTTCATTTATTACTAACAGAATGTTTGGTGATAGTCTGACAACTATCCAGGGAAATTCCCTTCCAAAAGATGGCTCAGCTGCTTCCATCTTGAACTCTAGAACATGTAGATTTCAGAGCTATTCTGGCAAAGAGAGAAAGTGGATGGGACCACATACCATCTTTTCAATGCCTCAACTTTGGAATGGTGCAGACCGCTTCTCTTCCTATAACAAAAATGATCATATGAAAAAGTGCAGGTTTCCACATGCTTGGGAAGGAGAGGAAAACTCTTTAAAGGTAAGCACCACCAGCAATCTCTACTAGGAGAGAGAATGTAATTTAACCAGACTACAAAGCTAGAATATGATAAAGCCCAAATCTGAACAGCTTATTCAAAAGATTGTCTAAACTTGAGACCTTGTGTTATCAAGCTCTAGTTATAACATATATACCACATATTGGCTTTGGCTGTGCCAAAAGTAGAAAAAAAATTATATATATGGAATGAGTATGCTTAGTACAAAAATTGGGGAGTACAGTGGCTCTATAGGATAAGCACTGGACTTAGAACCACAAAGTTGGTGCTTTCAGCCTACAAATGCTCCATGAAAGAAAGACAAGACTTTCACCTTGGGAAGATTTACAGCCTCAAAAATCCTATACAAGGTTACTATAAGTCGGATCAGGCTTGTCCACACTTAACAAGAATGACAATACAAAAATGTAGGTATTTATAAAAAATCTAACAGACTATATATATTCTCCCTATAACAAGTTCGTATAAATTACTTACAAACTATCCACTTTGATGCATCATGTCTTAGTTATGTAGCACTGTTATAACAGAAATAACACAAATGAATGGCTTTTTAAACAGAAACTTAATTGCTCACAGTTTTCGAGGCTAGAAGTTCAAATCCAAGGTGCTGGCTCTAGGGGATGAGTTTCTTTCTGTGTTGTCTGTGGATGAAGTTTTTTGTTTCTTTGAGCTTCTCCTCCTGGGAGATCTTCATGTGGCTTTTAATCTCTCTTCTTCCATCTTGACTTGCTGTTGTTGTTGTTAAGTGCTGTGGAGTTAGTTCTGACTCATACCAACCCTGTGGAGTGTCTGGTGCATTTGAACCAACAATCTTGCAGTTCAAATTGACATTGTGGTCCAGTGCATTATCCTGCAGTGTCACATCAGGACTCCTCTCTTATACCTCAATAGGGATTGACTCAAAAGACACCCTAAATTAGTACTATCTCATTAACATAACAACGACAATCCATTTTAAAATGGGGTTATAACCACAGTCATGGAAGTAGAGATTTACAAACCATGTTTGGGAAGTCCAACTCAATCAATAACAGATCACTTTCTCATGAAGGCTTTCCTAAACCACTGGATGAGTTACCAGTTGCCTTTGAGTTGACCGTCAGAGTAGAACTGACCTTCAGAAGGTTTTTAATGACTTATTTTTCAAAAATTGATTGGCAGATTGCTTCCAAGAGTGGATTTGAACCTCCAACCTTTAGATTATCAATGAAGCACGTCTGGACTCCAGATGAGGTTAAATTGCTCCTTTTCTCCACATCGTAGAAAAATTTTGTTAAAATCCATCACATTTCCTTAATGCCTATGAGTTTTAAAATGGCAGCCAGTATATCCCTGCTGTGTCTCCAGAGCTTGGTACAATTTTCTGACACAGAATAGGTAACTAATGAATATATATTGAATGAACAAATGAACGAATGAATGAAATTATTGACTTTCTGAAACAGGCCATGTCAGTGTCTTAAATGCTTCCCCAAAATGAGGTGAACTTTACTCTAGAACAACTTCTATTCAGTATTCTTGTTTGTCTCCATTAAATTAACATTGAATTAAGCTAATCATGTTTCTATTTTAAAATTTCTAAAGATAGTCAGCATATATCTATCACTCTTTCTGATGTCCATAATCATTTCATGAGTGAGATATATGCTTGAATTCCTATCAATTCCTCTCCTTAACCCTGGTTTTGTCAGCCTTCATCCCATAGTGTAGTGTCCAGAACTGGATGTACTTACTAAGTGTGAGCTGAAGTGGGATACTAACCTCCCTTGAAGGATGGATAGTGTATGTTAGTAGCATTGTTGGAGAAAGCACTGGACCGTCAGGTCAGTTTGAACTACAAGGTCTGCGATTCAAATTCACCAGCTTCTCTTTGGAAACCCTATACAGGGTCACTATGAGTAAGAATGGAGTCAAAGGCACTTAACAAGAATAAAAACAACAACCTAGAAACTCCAGTATCTGATACCACATATAGTATACCTCACACAATTATTTGTTAAATCAATCAATAAATGAGCGTGTGCACCTTATGATATATTACAATTATTTTGCATTTGACCATAAATCTATGGTCAACTTTTTGGTTTTTTTAAAGCTGGATTTACTCAATTTAGTTTAACTCTCAAAATACATACTTAAAAAAAAAAAAAAATCTCCACCAGATGTTAATACAAAACAATAAACTGTTAAACAGAACATTCCTCCACAAAGCACTGAGAAAATTAAGCCAAAGATGATCAAATCCTGATGATTTCCCCAGAGAAGTGTCCTTGTCATTCTAAAGAGAAATAGTCTCTAAACCTACTTTGCAAAAATAGCCTATCTTCCAGTGTTCAAATGTGACAGTCAAAAGAAATTAAGTGGCACTGGGATTCTGGAAACTACTCTTTCCCCATTCTGCACATGTAAATTAAAACTATTTACAAGAGATTATCTAGGATCTGAAAAGGGAAGAAATTGCTCTCATTTCAGAGAACTGAAGGTTTCCCATTCTTCTCCTTCCCCTTCTAGTCTTTTTCTTCATCCTTTGTCAGAGTTAAGGCAAAAGCTAGTATTTTCTTTGAAATACGGTGTCAAAGAAGTCTATTCTCCATCAAGTGATGGGACAAGTCACAGTTGGAAATGTCTAAGACCTCCAAACAAGTGTACAGAAGCATCACCAAGGAGGCTCTTCTGCCACCCTCCGCACACATGAAAGGCTGCTTCTACTAGGACCAATAGGTTAGATTTGATTTGTCTTCAGGATGCAATTTACTTTCCAGCAGCACAATGCAAAGTTGAGGGAGAGGGAGAATGTTAGTGCATGTATGCATGTAAGTGAGTGTGTCTGGACCCGTGGTGGGGGGGCCAGCAGGAAATAAGGGTGGGGCTAGCGAGAAGAGGAGGAAAGCAGAGATTGAGAGAAGTGGCTCCGATCCCAGTTAACCTGCTGGAGCTCATCCTGCTGCTCAGAGCTTCTGCACCAAGCCCCCTGTACCCTCTCTCCTCCCCAGTTTGCCTTCTTTCTCCTTCTCACGCTGCACCCTCTACCTACCCCCACTCTGCATCTGACCAGAGGACGAATGACAGAGAGATTTCCACAAATTGGGGCAGCAACTTTCCTCTGTCTCTGGACTCTGAAAGCAGGAGCGCGCTGATCGTCCGCGATCTGCGGCCGATGAAGGAAGAATGGTGATGGGCTAGCTGCAGCACCGAACAGCCCAGAGCCAGCCCTCGCCACCAGCCAGCTAACGTTCCCACGCCCGCTCCCAGGATCCCGCGGCAGGGGGAGCGTGCAGGGCGCAGACCCGGAGCATCCCAGTGAGAATGAGGTGGGGAGTTGGCCTGAGCGGGTTGCAGTTCACAGGCGGGCGGCCACTGCTGTGCCAGGGCATGGATTAAGAAGCCAGGAAGATGGAGCGGTGTACAGTCGTCGCCCAGCCGGGTTTCTGGACCAGGGACACCAGCTGGACACTCGTCTATTTTCTCTGCTACATCCTTCCCCAGAGCGCCCCGCAAGTACTCAGGATCGGTGAGTGAGTCCCCGGAAGCGCCGGATACTACCGGCTCAGGGGATGTGACCGCTCCCCGTGGCCAGAGCGGGCACAGCGCGTCCCGGGCTGAGGCATCAGGCACTGGTGCGGGGGACAGTGCGCTTGAAAAGCTTCTGGAAAGGAATGCTCGCGTCACTGCTTCCCTGCATGTGAACATGGGGCTTCCCTGGGAGGTACTGTTGGCTGGGGTTTGAAGGGTTCTTGCAAGAGTGCAAGCAAGAGTGCAGGATCACCCGGACAGGCACCACCTTCGGGGAATGGGGTCAAGAGCAGCTACAGCCAGTTGATTTGAGCTCCTAGATGATTTCTCCCAGCAGCTTGGGTGGATGTCCAGTAGCGCGGATCCGCAGCCCTGATCACTGAAAACGTGGGCTGTGTAACTTGCAAGCATACCTAGATCTCAAGAGTAGAAAGCGGGGACCAACAGGGATGTGGGAATATCATGTCACCTACTATCCCTGAGCCACCACGTTTTCAATCTTAATAGGGTTCTGGAATTCCTGGTCTCCAAAGTCCGAAGGATTCAACTGAAGAGGGTCAGAATCTGGATCTGAGGTCTAGCTGAGAGCTCTTGTGGAGAGGAGAGTCATTCAGCACTTTAGTTTTTTACTTGCTCACAAATCTCCTGTGCTCATTACTGAGTATAATACAGTCAACTCCAGATCTTCTATGGGACTTTGAGGTTCTTTCTCACAGGAGGTTAAACAAAGGAAAAGACTGAACTATTGAATGTGGGAGTTCTGAGTCTTCCCTAAGAGAGAGAGAGAGAGAGAGAGAGAGAGAGAGAGAGAGAGAGAGGGAGAGAGAGAGAGAGAAGGACAGGGTTACGGAGGTATCTTTGCTAGTGTGTGGACTTATGTACAAATTCTGGTATACGAAAACACTGGACAATTAAACACTGTCTCTGGGTTGACAGACTTCTCCTCCTCCCTTAATGTTCTCCATTTCAAATGAAACCCAGTTCTTATTTCCTACTCAGTAATCCAAATTTACTCACACCTCTTCCCCAACCATTTGTGTTTCTTGGAAATGTAGTTTTAGAGAGCCACAAGTGAGATGGTGACAGCACACTGTTCTTTCAGCTTCTACATGTCCCACATTAGCAGTGAGAGGGAAGTCTTAGCCTCTGAGGGCTAACTCACACCCTTTCCAGGAACTGACAGAGTGCAAGGCACAGTGCAGAGTACTCTAATAGTAATACTCCTGGACATCTGGATAATACAATAACTTCACTAATTCTGACTTACAATTGTCTACCCAAACCAGATGCTAATGCATTGATTCTGATGCATGGCATCTCTCTTTTTAAAGATTCAGAACTTAGTTCCTGTCTCTCAACACACCCATTTTCAAGAAAAACAGAATTATAACTTTAGAGTGTGTTTTGTCTTTATATGCATGCTCTACATTTCAAGGCAAGAAAAGATCCCAAATCCTATATTTGATAACAGATTTGTGCTTTCCTCGACTATAGATAATGATAATGTGTAGTTTAATGTATATTCACAGGTAGTTTAGCCTGTTCATTAGGAGATTTCCATAGCATACTTTTACAAAAGAAAAGTAATGCTTTTAACAAAATATCCTTCACCTTAAATATAATCTAGATCTAGTGTCCTGGTTTGGGGATGCAATCAACTCTACTCCAATTAAAAAACAAAACAAAGCATTTGAACAATGCAATATAAGTGATGAACATGCATTACAATTTCCTGTACTTATTAACTTAATTGGTATTTTGGTTATGGTATTATGCTCTTACACATTTAAAAAGAGAGTTATCTAGAAATGCTACTCAATATTCCTCATCCCTCTACTACAAATTTTAAGGTAGTATTTTTCTTCTTCTTCAAGTCCTTCATAGCTAAAGGAACATAGAAGGTAGGAAAAAAGATAGAATATATTTGTTCACAGATCTGAGTATTTATCCAAACTGTAAGTAATAAGGTTTGCCCATTTAAAAATAGTTTTAAAAGTGAAAACAAACAATATGATTCCCTGACCTTAAACTATATATCCATAAGATAATGAGATTTCCTTTCCTTAAGTGGGAGCTAACATGCTCAAAGAAAAATTACATGACTGAATTTTTTTATGTGCTGTGAAAATGTTTCACTCTTTCCGGCCCTGAATGACCTGTGTTTGATCTGGGCAGACAACTGTATATACCTAAGGACCAGTGCTTATTTTTAAAATGGACAGTTCAGCACCATGGAAACCAGCCTGAGTTCAGATGAAACCAGTCTTTCTAGTTTCCTGTGTCATTCAAGTCAGGCAATGAATACAAAATATCAAAGAACTTGAGGACTAAGCAAAAGTGTGCATGAGTGTATGTGTGCATGCATGCATATGTGTATGTCTCTGTGTAAGGAAAGAAATTGAATTGTATTTCTCTTTATCTGTCATCTCTCCTTCCCAACAAATTACCAACCATGCAATCAGTCAACTAGCCAACCAGCAAGAAGTGGTTCTTGGAGGTTTCCAGTAACTGAAAACACCCTGAAGTAAATTAAGTACAGCGTAAATGCCAAGGACTTAACAGCATGCTTCTATTGAAAAGACACCCAAATGCTTGAATGAATTAATTTCTAGTCTACTTTTCTTACCAGAGTGTCTGTTTAAACTTCAGCTATTGAGAAAAGTGTTATGAAAGGTATACAACTTTAGATAAAATTGTTGCATATTAAATATTTAAGAGATTGTTGAATATGCATATATACATGGATCTAGCACATATTGTGAAGCTCTGTCAGAAGGTTTATAATCTATGCCACAGTTTAGAGATATATACCAGTAATCAATCCTAACTCATGGCAACCTCGTGTGTGTTAGAGTAGAACTGTGCTCCATAGAGTTTTCAATGACTTGTTTCTGGATATAGTTCACCAGCCCTTCTGAAGAGGCACCTCTTGTTAACAATGAGTGCATAACATAGCACCACTCAGGAACACTTAGATACATTAGGGGATGTTCTGTAACATGGACTTTCATAACTACATTCCAAACATTTCTAGCAGTTTGCCTGGAAGAGGAGTATATCTGGCTACTAAGGATATTTTCAGGACTGCTAGAATCATCCCATCCCTGGCTATCTGTATATAGCAGCTAAAAAATCTCTGTCTCTCACACACATACACAGTTACAAAACCACATATACACAAACACATGAACACACACATATATTGAGTCTGACAGTCACAGATATCTTACTCACATGGCAGCCAACTTATAACTAGTGGTTAGAACAAGGTCTAGATGAATTGAGTAAGATGGTGGCCCACTACCCATATTGACGGGAGGGGAAGGAGGAGCTCATCTGAAAATGAAATTTGGTAGGCAGCTATTTTCATCATATTTTTATCATGCATCATCTCAGCACGTAGAATCATACATATGTTGGTAAAAAAACTAAGCATAGAACTAAGATTTAAGTGTTGAGTAGCCAGGCTATCTGATACCTGCTTTGCTGTCAGAAAGCATCCGTTTAGATCCAACCTCCATGATTTATTAGATACATGTCTCAGGGAAACTTTTCCAAAGCCTCGGCTTTTGCATCTTAAAAAATGGAATTAAAAATATTAAAAACATCACAGTCTCATTGGTACATGAAATAGAGAATGAAAAGATCTCTGGAGCAGTACCTTGGTACATTTGTTGCACCTTTATTATTATTATATTATCATTTATTTCATCCATTACTCATCTGTCAGATTGTTGTACTACAGTAGCTTGAAGGTTGCTGTGATGCTGGACGTTATACAATCAGTATTTTAAATACCAGCAGGCTCACCCGTGTTTCATGGGTTACAGTGGAGGTTCCAGACTAAGACAGACTAGGAAGAAGGAGATGCAGACAACTTTGAATAGTTAGCCACTGAAACTCTTAAGAATAGCATCAAAACATTGTCAAATATAATGCTAGAAGATGAACACATTATGAACTGTTGCAGAACATTGACTAATATAGTGTTGGAAATGAATGCCTCTGGTTGGAAGGCACTCAAAATACGATTGGGAAAAGCTGCCTCCTCAAAGTAGAGTGGACCATGATGATGAGAATGGAGCAAAGATTTTTGGACCTTCATATGCTGATGAGGCACAATTCAAAATGAGCAGAAACAGCTGCAAACATCCATAATAGCAAGAACATGGGATGCATAATGTATAAATATAAGAACATTGAAAGTTGTCAAAAATGAAATGCATAAAGAATGGTATATTTGGAATTAGTGAGCTGAAATGGACTGGTACTAGCCATTTTTAATCTGACAATCATATGGTTCACTATGCAAGTACAACCAATTCAAGAGGAATGGTGTCGCATATATCTTCAAAAAGAACATTTCAAGGTCTCTCTTGTAGTACAATGATGTCTATATCCCTACAAGAAAGACTGATTAATACCACTACCATTCAAATTTATGTACTAAAACCAGGAATGATGAAATTGAAGAGTTCTACCAAATTCTTCAGTCTGAAATTGATCAAATGTGCCATCAAGATGCAGTGATAATTACTGGTGATTGGGTTGCAAAAGTTAGAAGCAAAAAAGGAAGAATCAGTAGTTGGAAAATATGACCTTAGTGACAGAAATGATGATGGAGATCATATGATAGAATTTAGCAAGACCATCAACTTACTCATTGTAAATTCCATTTTTTTAAGCAAAATAAAAGATGACTATACACATGGATCTCACCAGATGGAATACACACGAATCAAATTGGTTATATCAGTGAGAGGAGATAGTGGAGATGCTCAATCTCATCAACCAAAACACAGCCAGAGGCTGATTGTAGAGCAAACCATCAATTTCCCATCTGCAAATTCAGGGTGAAGTTGAAAATTAAAACAAGTTAAAGAGAACGAGAAAAGCAATGTTGAACATATTCCACCTGAATTTAGAGACCATCTTAAGAACAGACTTGAAGAATTAGACACTAATGACAGATTACCAGAAGTTATGAGATGACACCAA